TAAAGTATATGTAAGTTAGGGAATTATTAATTTTCTTAAGTATGACAGAGATATCGTGGTTACAGAGAATGTCATTATTAGCATATGCACACATGATTTGGGAGTAAAGATTCACAATGTCTGTGACTAGCTTTTAGAGGATTTAGCAAAGTTAATATATATTTAGAAAGATAATTGTGACAAGCATTACCTGGTGAATCTCGGTAAAGGGTGGTCACTAAACATTTCTTTCAATTTTTCTATGGGTTTCAAATCTGTTTTAAAAGTTAAAAGTAAAGAAAATAACAGAGCTCCTGTAGTCATAATTTAAACTGAATTAGCATCTTCAGGATTGGGGAATCTTTATATTTTTCAAAAAGTCACCGGTGATTCTGACACACATCTAGGGAAGAGAACTACTGGTCTTTGGTTTCTGCTACCTCCTCCTGTAGGTAGAGAAAAGTGAAAGGAAGAAGTGCTATCATTTTCTCAGTAGAATTAGCTCAGCTGGTGGCCAAGAGCCTTTTCTCTGATGGCTCCACAAGCCAATTATCTCAGGCACAGTCTGACTGGCCCCTGAGCGGCTTAAGAGTGGATTTCCTACTGAGGAATGAAGGTACTAGTCCTCCTTTGGGGGCCTTGGCTGCCATAAGAAGCCAATACAATTGACCTTTCCAGAAACACAAGCTTCAGGGCACTGAAAGGGCTAAAAGGAAGGGAGCAGGGAGCAAGCCAAGGGACTGTCTGAATGACTGGGGAAACCTACCAGGAAATGCAATTTAACACTGAACAAGGGGTTCACCTGGGGAGCGGTGGGGGCAGACAATTCACCAACATTTAGTGACTGTCTACTATTAATACATACCTAGATAGATGTCATTACTAACAACTTCTGCCACACATAGGTAGGTATAAGCCCCCCCAACAAAGCAGATCATCTGTTCAATGTCTATTCTAAGAAACCTGAGGAAAATAAAAGCCACATTAATTATATGACAGTTTAAACAAACACAAGAATTTTTAAACTAAAAGCAGAAAAGAAAAAGTTAAATCTCCATACAGCTACTGTGAATTATTTTTATTGAAAGGAAAAAGTTTTCACTATAAAAGCTGTTAATAACATCCTTCTCCATGAATACATTGCTCAGAAGAGGGGGAATGGAGGTGGGGAGGTATACAAGTTGTACAGGATAGAAAATCAATGCAAGCTTGTTCTAACTCTTCCCAGGAACAGGGGCGATGCCTACAGTTTCCTGGGTAGGTAGTGGGCAAGGAAGATCAGGAGGAGATCTATCTGGGACAAGCAGTTAGAGATGATTGCCCACAACTGCCACAAGACTGCCCCCTCCACATCCCCTGCTTATTTGTCTGGCAGTAGGAGTCCTCCCTCTTAGCCAATCCACTACCAGGCAGCCAGAACACTCACTCTCCTTAAAAGCTAGTTTGGCTTCCTGGGCACCTGGTCCTTCTGGAACAAGGCTTTTAAGCTCTGGAGCCTGTCACTGCTGTAGGTCTCCCTCAGCACTCTGCAGAGGGCAATGCTCACCAGCACACCGCCAACCACTCCACTGGCAATACCTATTCCCAAGGCTGATGCTACCTTCTTTTCCCACTTTGGGCGGTGAGGCTTGGAATAGTTGTCCAGATTAACTTCCAAGCCCTGATCTATTAACTTCTGATCCTCAGTAAGGGACTGATGGAAATTCAGGTTTACCAAGTTAGGAGGAAGGACCCTCAGCCCAAAATAAAGTCTCTTGACAAGTCTCAAGTTTTTTAACAGCTGCACATCACACCGGTATGTCCCCGAGTCATACTCCTGCGCAGACTGAAACTTCACAAAGTGGGAATTGGCTCGGAAGGGCTTGAAGACCGTGTCATCAGTTGAGATGATACCCCGAGCAAGTCTCCAAGTGAATCGGAAAGCTTCCTGTCCAACCTCCAGGATGTCTGAACTCAGACAGCTAAGCTCAAATTCCTTCCCGATGAGAACGGTGAAATGGAGCATCCCACAGATCCAGTTGGTCAGACATTCCAAGCGCTGAGACTTACACTTCCTTCTCACTCCATCAGGGCCCACCTCACAGACAGTCTCCTCCTTATAGCCAAGGCCACAGGTGACAGTACAGCTTGTGGCATTGACAATAACTTTCCCCACGGCTTCTTGCAGCTTCTTAGGGATGGCCAGTGTTCTAGGTGTGGTCACCACCAAAGGCAGGTAGAAGGGCAACACCAGGATCCCGAGGATGAAACTAGTGGCCAAAACCTTCATGTTGTGGTAGGCATTGCACCACCCTCAGGCAGCACCCCAAAGGTATTCCAGCTGATTTCTCTACAATATCATAACTTGATTCCTTTGACATGAGACAGCTTTCAAAATCAAAAGATACGATGCATGTACTGTCAATAAAACAGTGCAACTTAATAAAAGACCAGTCCTTACTAACAGGTAAGGCCACAAGGCAGGAAAAAAAAAACATAATGTTGTTGCTTTACTATATGCTTGGTAAAGACGACCTTATCATTCTTTTTACATTTTTTTTTTAGAGAATTTAAATCTACCTCTTGGGAAGACAAAGGATGAAAAGACTTCAGAAACTGAAGTGAATTTCCAAATTATCTCAAATGCATAGTGAAGTTACACTCTTTCTCACCCTTTCCCCTTCCCTCCAAACTGTGGAATCTAAAGGGTTTCCAAACACCAAGTTAAATGTGACCAAATAAGAAAACAAATACTAAAGTCTTAAAAAGAAAGAAAAAAAAAAAGATTAACTTGAATTAAGTTCAAGTTAAAGAACCTGACTCATTTCCTTTGAATGCTCTTAACCCTTCTATAAAAGGATTAAGAACTCTGGACTGGGAGGCAAGTGACTTACCCTTTCTGAATTTCTATTTCCTCCTTCGTAAATTAAGACATCCTTGCCTATTTCAGGAAGGTCACTTTGAGCATCACATGATATGCTGTGCATGAAAACACTTTGTAAAGTGTGAAACGCTGTTCATTCATATGTAAGGGATTTTCAACAGAAATGAAAATTCATGAAGACAAGGGCCAAGACAACCTTTTAGAATCAGAACATTTAAGGCTATGTTAAAGGCAGCTCCTCCCTCCCCTTTTGGTACTCTTCCTTCCCAAGGGCACTGAAGATGTTTTCTGGGTGAGACGACGCATGATGCTCTCGCTCAGCCTACTGCCTCTACCCTACAGAACAGAGGATCTCACTGTTCCCTTAGGTCAAGGTTGCTATGAAACAGCTGTGATGTCAAAGACGGGGTTCTCAGTCACATAACAGATTAGTAAATTGACACTCAGATTTGGCACTGATTAAAATAAAAAACTTAGACTTTGTGAAACATTCTTTAGGAGACAAGTATTCAATGGCTTTTAAAGCTATGTAATCTAAAAAAAATAAAAATAAAAGGCTAATGAAGAGGAATTTAACTGTACTTAGACTTGAAGAAAGACCCCTGGAAGGTAGGAACCTCCTGGCTTGCATTTTTGTAACTTCCAGAATGTCTAGCACTACGGCCTCTTCAGAGTAATTACACAAACATACTGAGTTAAAGAATTCGAAGAGAGATCACTCCTAGATGATCTTTTCAATGAACGACTTTGTGCTCAGATCATTTATTTATAATTTTGTCTACAGGCAGACATCAAGACTACCTGCCCAGCCCTTGCAGATCTGTATTTCCACACAGAAAGATCTAACATCACCACAGTAAGCCACATTTTCCATAGTACAAAAGCAAAGCAGCTGGTGACTTCCAGAAGTGAGCAGTGTTTACAAACTAACATCTACACCTGTTCTTTAATAAACATCCGATTTTATTTACAAAGCATTAAAGCTTCAGCAAGATATACCCAAGGCTAAGTCTCATCTTGTACAAAACTACAGAACATTTTAAAAAACCAAACAATGGGGGAGTAGGGAGGTGACAAAAAGGAAGAGAATATACATATATCGTACAAATCAAGAAAGTCAAACTAAGGTAGAAGGTTTTAGGAGTTGAAAAAAAAAAATTTCCAAAAGCATAAATAATTATTAGGAGCTGCTGCCAGAGACAATCTGACAGGGCTTAAGTCGCTTTTCTCAGTAGCTAGTTTAGGAGGTGGACACAGCACAAACGTCCAGATGCACAGGCAGGGGAAACCAAGCTACTTCACACATGGAAATAAGGCAGAAACCCTTTGTATCACACAGTTTGCACACTATTGCAGGGTAGAGTACAGAGAAAACTGGAATGGATATAATATCTGTAAAACAAAAACATGTCTAGTGAGCCACTTACCAATCTCAACCACTGGTCTAACTCATATGCAATTCACAAAATGAGCATTTAAGAAAAAAGTAATGGCATCTAACAATATAGACGTTTTGGAACTGACTCAGGGAGAGCTTTCTTCATTATTGAATATACTGGTTCTAAAGGATGGAATGGGAGAAAGAGGCTCTTACTGATGTGTTCCACTGTGATTTCTATCCTAATATCTAAAAGGTAATCAATGTGTTTGGCTACCTATAGGAGCATCCACCGACTGATACAGATTTCCCAATAAGCACAGTATTTGAATTCTCCTTTGAAAATACTGAGAAAATGATGATCCAGGTTAAGCACTTCTGGTCAACTAAAAGCTCTACTCAGGGAGGCTACTGACTGCCTGGCTTCCTGACTAAATTTTCAGAGAATTTCAAACACCTAATGTACACATCTATCCAATCTTTCTATCTATAGAACAACAAAAGCAAAAAAAAAGGGCAAAAAAGCTAGCAACCTTTCACAGAAAGGAAGTGACTGAAACATAGAAAAAGGAGCATAGATACAGGAAGGGACTGATGGGGACAGATTTCCACAGGCAATGTTAAAAAAAAATTTCACCTTGATCTTTGATTTGAACTGTATTGTTGCTGCTTTGATTTTGGATGGTTTTACCCTAGTCCTTGCATAGATTCCCCCATCCCAATAAAAAAGAAGCTTGTTGAGTGACACCATGGTTTGTTTCCATCTCTGGAAGCCAGCACACACAAAGCGATACAAACTGTTGGTGATTCTTTGCTGGAGATGGATAAAACTAGCTATCTTCAAAACCATGATTAATGACAATGAACCAACACTGGAGGGGAACATGCAATGAAAGGAAAACAAGGAAAAACCTTGAATCTCTTACAGCCCAGCTTCTTGAGCAAAATGTAGTACGGTAGGAAAAGGGGGGCCTTATCTTTCTTCCATTCCTGAAAATTTGAAATTTTTCAAGCACGTTCTTTCCTGCCCATCCTTGGTACACAATATGGAAATATAGGAGATATCTGGGGGGAAGGTAAGTTTAAAAAATGAAAGAAAGAGAATTAGCAACAGAAGTTTCCCTAGGATACTGGTAGCAAAATTTCAGATAAGAACAAGTCACTCGAGGACATGCACTGAGGATGGAAGGCTAACAGGAGACAGGAAATGACAGCCATAATGATGCTGGGTACAATAACATTATATGAGCAAAACATAGGTATTTTTTCTCCAGCAATGTAACTAAGCATCAAAGTTTAAATGAGTCAAAGCTCCTATCTGATGTCTTCACAATCCTCATTCCTGAGAGCCTATTTGGACTTACGCTTGAAAAGGAAGGTAAGGGACATATACTCTTCTTCCATAATTCGCTTCTTCATTCAAACATAAAACTCACTCCTCCCACCTCCTGGGTGGGAGGCAGAGGCCTTTGTTTTAAATTAAAGTCAATCTCAAATGACTGACCACAGTGTCCAGAGGCCACATGATGGCAAAGTGGGGAAGAACGAAGAACTTCAAGGGTCTTCATAACAATTCTGAGATTGCTCCTCCTGCTAAAGAGATCAGACACAAAAAGTTTTCTGTTAGCATTAACTTAGACCAATTACTTACAAAACAGAAACACTGATGGATGATGGATGATGCATTACACACATGTATGAGCCAAGAACTTCCCCCTTTTAAGAAAAATCAAAACCAACACCAACTCCCAATTACTCTTTATTGAAACAAATCATTCAAATCCCAAACCCCTACCCCCAATACTTTTCTCAGTACTGCTCCAAAGGGTGAGGGAAAAAGCAAAACAACCAGAGTTCTATACATCTAAGCTGCTAGCCATTCTCTCAGGTGTTCACAAATAATGCTTAGCAATCCAAAAAGTGCAATAAGTAGAGGAAATTCCAGCGCACTACACCTTTAACCTTTCATACATTAGACTAATTGGTAACGGCATGATTAACAGTGAGCAAGAAACCCTTTTCCAAGCACCAGTGTTCCTTAAGTGACATCCTTATCACCTTAGAATCCCAAATATGGTGAAATGTTGATGAAAGCTACTGTCTGCATTTCTATGCACCGACCGATCAATAAATAATATCCGAAATAGCAAAATCAAATGAACACTTCCCTGATTATTCCATAGAAGCTGTTCAACCTCTGAGGGGCATCCTTAAACGGACAGCTGTGAGATATTAACTAGGAAGTGTAAAGAGAACACGGTGAAGAAAATCCTCCCAGATGTCACTTGGAATGGGGGAGAACATGCTACTTGAACGTAAAATGGTTAAAAAATAATAATTGCCCAAATTATGAAAGCAAAGCACTCATTTATAAAACTTTACTTTTAACATGATTTTTAAAGTGAAGTTCCCATACAAATGAAAACTGGCAATAAAAATATATTCACATTTTCCTGAAAACAGCCTGAAATTATAACATACAAACTCTCTACTGAATGCTACAGTGTTAAAAATTGAATTTAAACTTTTTATAGTTCAGTAGATAAAAAGTTGAGCTAGGCCTTGTTTTTCAGATCTCTCCCGACATAAAACATACGGAACCTCTTGAGCTGATGAAAGAAAACCTCTTAGATACAGGAATGCACTCCACAAGGCTCAGTACCATACCTTTACCACTCTAAGGCTAGTTTCACTAATTGTTCCCACAGGTACCCTGATCAACTTAGTTTTAACGGTTTAGAAATTTTGTGCATTGCTATTTCATTAGGCCTAAATCATGATGGGAGAAAGTGGTTTCATCACAAATCAAGAGCATTAATAACAGGCACTCAAGATGACTGACATCTTATACTGATTAGCTGAGGGCAGATCACGTTTCTATACCATCTTGTTCTTGTGAATAGACAAAAGAAATAAAAGCAAAGGGGAAAAAAAAAGGATTTGTTGAGGCATCAGGCAACAAAACAAAACCAGAGCAAGCAATACAATGAGCCAGGTAGGATATACAGAAATAGCAACACAGAGCACTCCAGGCAATATAAAGATCTGAAGCAGAAACTGCTCCCAAGGAAATGAATTATTTAGCTGCAACAAAAAGGAAATTTCTAGTAATATAATATTAAGGAAAATTCAGCTCATAATGAATAGTTACTATTGGTACCTCCCAATAGCAGCCCAATCCAGGGTGGCCTAAGAGAACACTGGGTCATGATTTTCAAACCCTACCTTAGCTAGAAAGATCATGTAGAATGAGAAAGAATATCCAACTAGCTATCTGACTTCAGCAGGAATTCATAAATTAGTCTTCGAGAGACTGTTCTTTAAAAAAAAGAATGAAAAAACACCTCACTCACTACTGAGCATTTCAGACAATCACAGATCCAGTAAGGAACTTGGAGGTGGTTCAGAGCCCTGGGGAGGGGCTGGCTGGCACCAGGGGCAGCGATGCAGGGCAGCCCAAGGCAGGGAAATCCACGTGGTGCCCGTTCACCCCCAGGAGTGGCGCCTTGGCTCACTTTGGCCTTTGCCACCCCCAAAAGACCGAGGTATATACTAACTGCTTCATGCCCACCATCCCATGAGGCCTTTAGACCATGTATGTGACAGCCTCACTTTACTACTGATGTTTACTGCCAAGGAGCCCTAGTTCTTCAGCAATCCCAGGGCTACAAGGAAATCGGTAATTCTGTTCACATCCCAAGTTTCTGTTCTGAGGGCTGGCCTCTGAGAGTATCTGAGGTAATTGAGGGACATTTGATAAATGGTGCAAACTATGTCAGCCTGGTCTCTCTGAGAAGTCCCAAGCTCAGGGTTACCCTTACCAAGCTTCACTGTTGGGTCTTCACTCAACACAGAAAGTGTCTTCATGGATGTGGGCTCTCTGGTGCTATCCAATACTGATGAGCTGTTTGATAGGAAAGAAGTTTCTGTAGCCCCAGATTCCAAATGGCCAGATTATTTCTATAGGATCTATTTGTCTTTCAATTTTCCCTTGAAATGCATCATCTCCTGCTGCAACATGCGACAGACTATGGTAGCTTTGTTAGGGCTAATCAAGGTTTATGGAACAGTTTTTTCAATAACTGGTCAATTGTAGATTGTAACAAAGAGGTGTCAATCATCTTACTTAGGGTAGTAACACAGCCTACAACACCTATAATCTTGCCTTCAAACAATTTGACTCTAATGCAAAAGGTGTCCATGGTGGGGGCGAGGGGGTATAGACAGGTCCACAAAACCTTGAGTCTACAAATACAACCCTCAGACTGATTTTTGAAGATGGTTCCGCCTCAGGCATTCTGGATCAGGTTTCATTTCTTCTTATCTAGTGGAAAATCTACAACGCCTCCATACTGCCTTTTATTGAAAATCTCCAAGGTATGGATGAACATGAGTTCCAAAGGCCAAAGTGTTTCCCTTGGTGGCCTTGGTGGGCCACATGCAAATCAGCAGCAGGTGCCAGCCAGACTTAGCCTGCTCAGGCCCTCCAAGATGACCATGTTATTGGATGAAGCCCTACCCTCACCCAAAGAATCCCACATAAACAATATGATAGGTTGTCTTAAAACTGAGACTTCTGATGGAATTATCTGTGATATCTAGTTTCACCACTTCCCCCAGCAAATCTGCAGCCTTCACAAAGATCCAAACTACATGGCAGCTGGTCAATAAAGCTGGATGCAGCCCTTCTGTGGGAGTCTTGGAACCATGCCTCAACCCCCTTTTGAGGTTTCTTAATGATCTTGTTCCTCAGCACTCTGGAGTTTAATCTGGCCACTTCAGTTCTGGAGATTTCCAATCAGGAAAAGGTAGAACCAAGGCCAGAGAAGAAGGGAGAAAATGGGAAGAAGGACGTATAGATTACATGGGGAAGCATGCGATGCGAGCAATAGAGGAGTCGGGGAAACGTTTGCAGTGACCTACGCATGCAGTCTCTTTGCCTGTGTGTTGTCGTAAAATATATTATCACTCTGGTGCTATCATGTGGAAATGTCCTTTAGTCCTTGTAAGGGGTAAAGCTGTTAAAACAGTTCTATTTAAAATGGACCAATTTAAGTGCCTAACAATAGAAAACAAAAGT